GTACTTCATGTTTCATCTACCCAGTACTTCATGTTTCATCTACCCAGTAGTTCATGTTTCATCCACCCAGTACTTCATGTTTCATCCACCCAGTACTTCATGTTTCATCTACAGATTACTTCATGTTTCATCCACCCAGTACTTCATGTTTCATCTACCCAGTACTTCATGTTTCATCTACCCAGTACTTCATGTTTCATCCACCCAGTGCTTCATGTTTCATCTACCCAGTGCTTCATGTTTCATCCACCCAGTACTTCATGTTTCATCCATCCAGTACTTCATGTTTCATCTACCCAGTACTTCATGTTTCATCTACCCAGTACTTCATGTTTCATCCACCCAGTACTTCATGTTTCATCCACCCAGTACTTCATGTTTCATCCACCTAGTATTTTATGTTTCATCTACCCAGTACTTCATGTTTCATCTACCCAGTACTTCATGTTTCATCCACCCAGTACTTCATGTTTCATCCATCCAGTACTTCATGTTTCATCTACCCAGTACTTCATGTTTCATCTACCCAGTACTTCATGTTTCATCCACCCAGTACTTCATGTTTCATCCATCCAGTACTTCATGTTTCATCTACCCAGTACTTCATGTTTCATCCACCTAGTATTTTATGTTTCATCTACCCAGTACTTCATGTTTCATCTATCCAGTACTTCATGTTTCATCTACCCAGTACTTCATGTTTCATCCATCCAGTACTTCATGTTTCATCTACCCAGTACTTCATGTTTCATCCACCCAGTACTTCATGTTTCATCCACCCAGTACTTCATGTTTCATCCACCTAGTATTTTATGTTTCATCTACCCAGTACTTCATGTTTCTTCCACCCAGTACTTCATGTTTCATCCACCCAGTACTTCATGTTTCATCCACCCAGTACTTCATGTTTCATCTACCCAGTACTTCATGTTTCATCTACCCAGTACTTCATATTTCATCTACCCAGTACTTCATGTTTCATCCACCCAGTACTTCATGTTTCATCCACCCAGTACTTCAAGTTTCATCTACCCAGTACTTCATGTTTCATCCACCCAGTACTTCATGTTTCATCTACCCAGTACTTCATGTTTCATCCACCCAGTACTTCATGTTTCATCCACCCAGTACTTCATGTTTCATCTACCTAGTACTTCTTGTTTCATCCACCCAGTACTTCATGTTTCATCCACCCAGTACTTCATGTTTCATCTACCCAGTACTTAATGTTTCATCTACCCAGTACTTCATGTTTCATCTACCTAGTACTTCTTGTTTCATCCACCCAGTACTTCATGTTTCATCCACCCAGTACTTCATGTTTCATCTACCCAGTACTTCATGTTTCATCCACCCAGTACTTAATGTTTCATCCACCCAGTACTTCATGTTTCATCTACCTAGTACTTCTTGTTTCATCCACCCAGTACTTCATGTTTCATCCACCCAGTACTTCATGTTTCATCTACCTAGTACTTCTTGTTTCATCCACCCAGTACTTCATGTTTCATCCACCCAGTACTTCATGTTTCATCTACCCAGTACTTCATGTTTCATCTACCCAGTACTTCATGTTTCATCCACCCAGTACTTCATGTTTCATCTACCTAGTACTTCTTGTTTCATCCACCCAGTACTTCATGTTTCATCCACCCAGTACTTCATGTTTCATCTACCCAGTACTTCATGTTTCATCTACCCAGTACTTCATGTTTCATCCACCCAGTACTTCATGTTTCATCCACCCGTACTTCATGTTTCATCTACCCAGTACTTCATGTTTCATCTACCCAGTACTTCATGTTTCATCCACCCAGTACTTCATGTTTCATCTACCCAGTACTTCATGTTTCATCTACCCAGTACTTCATGTTCATCCACCCAGTACTTCATGTTTCATCTACCCAGTACTTCATGTTTCATCCACCCATACTTCATGTTTCATCTACCCAGTACTTCATGTTTCATCTACCCAGTACTTCATGTCTCATCCACCCAGTACTTCATGTTTCATCCACCCAGTACTTCATGTTTCATCCACCCAGTACTTCATGTTTCATCTACTCAGTACTTCATGTTTCATCTACCAGTACTTCATGTTTCATCCACCCAGTACTTCATGTTTCATCCACCCAGTACTTCATGTTTCATCTACCCAGTACTTCATGTTTCATCTACCCAGTACTTCATGTTTCATCCACCCAGTACTTCATGTTTCATCCACCCAGTACTTTATGTTTCATCCACCCAGTACTTCATGTTTCATCTACCCAGTACTTCATGTTTCATCCACCCAGTACTTCATGTTTCATCCACCCAGTACTTCATGTTTCATCTACCCAGTACTTCATGTTTCATCTACCCATTACTTCATGTTTCATCTACCCAGTACTTCATGTTTCATCCACCCAGTACTTCATGTTTCATCTACCCAGTACTTCATGTTTCATCTACCCAGTACTTCATGTTTCATCCATCCAGTACTTCATGTTTCATCTACCCAGTACTTCATGTTTCATCCACCCAGTACTTCATGTTTCATCCACCCAGTACTTCATGTTTCATCTACCCAGTACTTCATGTTTCATCCACCCAGTACTTCATGTTTCATCCACCCAGTACTTCATGTTTCATCCATCCAGTACTTCATGTTTCATCTACCCAGTACTTCATGTTTCATCCATCCAGTACTTCATGTTTCATCCACCTAGTATTTCATGTTTCATCTACCCAGTACTTCATGTTTCATCTACCCAGTACTTCATGTTTCTTCCACCCAGTACTTCATGTTTCATCCACCCAGTACTTCATGTTTCATCCACCCAGTACTTCATGTTTCATCCACCTAGTATTTCATGTTTCATCTACCCAGTACTTCATGTTTCATCTACCCAGTACTTCATGTTTCATCCACCCAGTACTTCATGTTTCATCCACCCAGTACTTCATGTTTCATCCCACCAGTACTTCATGTTTCATCCACCCAGTACTTCATGTTTCATCCACCCAGTACTTCATGTTTCATCCACCCAGTACTTCATGTTTCATCTACCCAGTACTTCATGTTTCATCTACCCATTACTTCATGTTTCATCTACCCAGTACTTCATGTTTCATCCACCCAGTACTTCATGTTTCATCTACCCAGTACTTCATGTTTCATCTACCCAGTACTTCATGTTTCATCCACCCAGTACTTCATGTTTCATCTACCCAGTACTTCATGTTTCATCCACCCAATACTTCATGTTTCATCCACCCAGTACTTCATGTTTCATCTACCTAGTACTTCATGTTTCATTTACCCAGTACTTCATGTTTCATCCACCCAGTACTTCATGTTTCATCTACCCAGTACTTCATGTTTCATCCACCCAGTACTTCATGTTTCATCTACCCAGTACTTCATGTTTCATCCACCCAGTACTTCATGTTTCATCTACCCAGTACTTCATGTTTCATCTACCCAGTACTTCATGTTTCATCTACGCAGTACTTTATGTTTCATCTACCCAGTACTTCATGTTTCATCTACCCAGTACTTTATGTTTCATCTACCCAGTACTTCATGTTTCATCTACCCAGTACTTCATGTTTCATCTACCCAGTACTTCATGTTTCATCCACCCAGTACTTCATGTTTCATCTACCCAGTACTTCATGTTTCATCTACGCAGTACTTTATGTTTCATCTACCCAGTACTTCATGTTTCATCTACCCAGTACTTTATGTTTCATCTACCCAGTACTTCATGTTTCATCCACCCAGTACTTCATGTTTCATCTACGCAGTACTTTATGTTTCATCTACCCAGTACTTCATGTTTCATCTACGCAGTACTTCATGTTTCATCTACCCAGTACTTCATGTTTCATCTACCCAGTACTTCATGTTTCATCCACCCAGTACTTCATGTTTCATCTACCCAGTACTTCATGTTTCATCTACCCAGTACTTCATGTTTCATCTACCCAGTACTTCATGTTTCATCCACCCAGTACTTCATGTTTCATCTACCCAGTACTTCATGTTTCTCTATGTCTACTACTACAACTTATATCACTACTACTACTACTACTACCACTAGTATTACACCTCACTCTGAGCCTATATATACCCTCTGTGTCCATGTATTGTTTGTAAGAGTTTGATAAAGCTCCTGGAGAGCGAAACGTTGCCACAATAAAATGTCACATTAGTTGCACTTGTGTCCTTTTACTTTACATATTGTCGGTAATTCTACCAACATATATACAGGAATAAATAAAGTGAATATAAACAACGTGCTGAAAATATCTACCCAAGACAGGATTCGCAACAGTGGATTAAACCGGACTAATTTGGGTTTAAAATGAATATAGGGAAGCATTGGTTTGGCAGCAGAGTTACTGATGAGTGGAACTAACTCCCAGTAAGCGTCACTGAGATGAGAGCTTCGAGTAACTTTTTATGTATGCGCTGGACGGTACATGAGTGGGTGTGTGTGGGTGTGAGTTAGACCTGTCTTGTATGGGCCATTAGGCCTACTTTAGTGTTTCCTAATTCTTGTATTCTTAAAGTTTTGATCAGTAACTCATGGTAAGGGTATGAAAACTCCAGGTACTTGCGCTTCGCCCGGTGCCTGGATGTACTTCTGGACTAAGTGACATTTTCCCCCGACCGCCACAGTGTATAGTTTGTTATTACGCATGTTTGTATTATTGGAGAGTCTTTGTAAGTCTCATTGAAAAAATGTTTGGAAAAAAACACTAGTACAAAGATAAGTTTTCATAATGACAACCTTTTGTAGTGTTTAGTTTTACCAAATCCATGACTTAATGAGGCCTGGTGACAGACCGGGCCGCGGGGGCATTGACCCCCGGAACTCTCTCCAGGTAATAATTATTGAGTCTACACAGAGCGAAACTTTGTCACCATAAAAGCTTGATGCACACCTTTTTTTTTTTTCATTCAGTACTGTCGACAAACGCTATCGTATCTAAATATATTTTATTTCCAGGATGAGAGTGGTTCCTTCAATGAACTTTCTGAAGGTATATCAGTTGACGCTGGAAATCTAGTGACGGAGAAGGTCGTGTGGAAGGGTCGGGCACAAGTTTCAGGATATTACAGGTGAACACATACGCTGGTTTTATAATACAGAATTTAAACCGGATTAAGGAAAAAGATTATGGCAAGGAAATGTGTACCGGTAAACCAGCGGAAGGCCTCGGTCAAATGACCGAAAGCTCCATTTGTGACTAAAGAGCCTTGGCAGGAAACACTTGTCCTGTTTCCTGACGAACCTTACCTCACCTGACCTACCATATAGTGAGGAGCTCGTACCTCTGTACGAGATCCATTTACCATTTACCTTTTACCATTTACCAAAGAGTATGTAGGACTAATTTTCGATGGTTTTTTTTTCACGTTACGTGCTATTCCTTTCGGAAAATCTTACTTTCAGTACAGACACTCACTACGACGTTGTGATTAAAACAGATTGATTTTGCCAGCTTCAGCTTTCCTTGTTAGCCTGTAAGTTCATCTGTTGCCGATAACTCGCCTCAATCTTTTGAGTTAAGCGCAGTTTTGTTAATTTAATAATCTGTTAAATAATGCATTTTATTTTCCTTGACTTATGTAGATGCATTGCTGAAAACGAACTTCAGAATGAAACCTCAAAAATCCTGGACTTCATAGTGACTGGTGAGATACTTTAATAAACATATTTGCTAAAAGTAGTTCAATAAGTATTAACGTTGTTCCATTCTTTACCATAATAAATAACAAAATTATATTCTGTAACATTGCGAAGATGTGTTATATGCATTCATAACATTTTATAATTCACGTGTTTATAAAATGTACATCCAAAATTTAGGCAATGTGAGTATTACAGTTATTTCAGAAATTCATTACTATAATATTTTTTGACAGATGCTGATGACGTGACGTCCAAAGTGTCACTGGAGACTATAATTAATGATGAGAAGCAACTAGCACTTAATATTGTAGTCCTGGAGGGTGATAACCTGACATTCCGTTGTCTTGGTAACAAAGTGCTCACCAACAATAATCTAAAATGGAAACTGAATGGTCAGCCGCTTAATGAACACCTGGTAAAGGACTGGATGTTCAATGTGACCGGTGAGTTTATATTGTTTAATGTGCTGGCAACATATGAAATATATTTTTAGTCATAAATATATATTTTATACATAAACATGCTTATGGTAGTTACTTTGTTGGTAGATGGTGATTGTCAACTGTCATACCAGGCTGTGGATGACCTAAGGGTTGTCTGTATCTCCCGAAGAAAACTCATTTATAATTATGAAAAATTTCGATATGCCATTTTGTATTTTGCACAATTAGACAACCTGCTAAAATTTACGTAATATGTAACTGCTTACTTTACCCAGCTTGTTTAATAATTTACATACGTTTATATAATTGGTTTCCCTACGGGTGAATACATAATTACATACAATTACAAAGTCATAATGTTTACAAAGGTTTCTCTGTCACATGTTGACATATCTACACACGGGTCATTTATATGATCAAGACCCGTGTCAGGAAGAACTTATCCTGTCCCCTCCTCCTTGATTCGCCGGTACTTTCTCGGCCCGGGTCTTTTCCAGATGGTGACTCAGCCTTGGCTTCCCGTCGTGAGAGTATCTGGGACCTATGTTTCAGATGGGAGGAGGTACAAGTATCTCCTCATCTTTCGAGATCAACTGTCCCCCGGCCTAGCCCCATTCCCTGCCCTCACGGGCTCGTAGGGAGAAGCTAACGAATATTATAACAAGAACATACCTACATTTCGAACACAGTCGAAATGTAGGCCGTTATATAAACTGAGGAAAATGACAAAACCTCACTTTAACACACAAGCGTGCGTGAGCGTGTCAGATAGGAGTGAATGGAGACAAATGGTATTTGGGACCTGACGAGCTGTTGGAGTGTGAGCAGGGTAATATTTAGTGAAGGGATTCAGGGTTGAAGAGGGTTGGAATAGTTTTAAAAATGCAGTATTAGAATGTGGGGCAGAAGTTTGTGGTTATAGGAGGGTGGGGGCAGGAGGAAAGAGGAGTGATTGGTGGAATGATGAAGTAAAGGGTGTGATAAAAGAGAAAAAGGTAGCTTACGAGAGGTTTTTACAAAGCAGAAGTGTTATAAGAAGAGCAGAGTATATGGAGAGTAAAAGAAAGGTGAAGAGAGTGGTGAGAGAGTCCAAAAGGAGAGCAGATGAAAGAGTGGGAGAGGCACTGTCAAGAAATTTTAATGAAAATAAGAAAAAAATTTGGAGTGAGTTAAACAAGTTAAGAAAGCCTAGGGAAAGTATGGATTTGTCCGTTAAAAACAGAGTAGGGGAGTTAGTAGATGGGGAGAGGAAGGTATTAGGTAGATGGCGAGAATATTTTGAGGAACTTTTAAATGTTGAGGAAGAAAGGGAGGCGGTAATTTCATGCACTGGCCAGGGAGGTATACCATCTTTTAGGAGTGAAGAAGATCAGAATGTAAGTGTGGTGGAGGTACGTGAGGTATTACGTAGAATGAAAGGGGGTAAAGCAGCTGGAACTGATGGGATCATGACAGAAATGTTAAAAGCAGGGGGGGATATAGTGTTGGAGTGGTTGGTACTTTTGTTTAATAAATGTATGAAAGAGGGGAAGGTACCTAGGGATTGGCGGAGAGCATGTATAGTCCCTTTATATAAAGGGAAAGGGGACAAAAGAGATTGTAAAAATTATAGAGGAATAAGTTTACTGAGTATACCAGGAAAAGTATACGGTAGAGTTATAATTGAAAGAATTAGAGGTAAGACAGAATGTAGAATTGCGGATGAGCAAGGAGGCTTCAGAGTGGGTAGGGGATGTGTAGATCAAGTGTTTACATTGAAGCATATATGTGAACAGTATTTAGATAAAGGTAGGGAAGTTTTTATTGCATTTATGGATTTAGAAAAGGCATATGATAGAGTAGATAGAGGAGCAATGTGGCAGATGTTGCAAGTATATGGAATAGGTGGTAAGTTACTAAATGCTGTAAAGAGCTTTTATGAGGATAGTGAGGCTCAGGTTAGGGTGTGTAGAAGAGATGGAGAATACTTCCCGGTAAAAGTAAGTCTTAGACAGGGATGTGTAATGTCACCATGGTTGTTTAATATATTTATAGATGGGGTTGTAAAAGAAGTAAATGCTAGGGTGTTCGGGAGAGGGGTGGGATTAAATTATGGGGAATCAAATTCAAAATGGGAATTGACACAGTTACTTTTTGCTGATGATACTGTGCTTATGGGAGATTCTAAAGAAAAATTGCAAAGGTTAGTGGATGAGTTTGAGAATGTGTGTAAAGGTAGAAAGATGAAAGTGAACATAGAAAAGAGTAAGGTGATGAGGGTATCAAATGATTTAGATAAAGAAAAATTGGATATCAAATTGGGGAGGAGGAGTATGGAAGAAGTGAATGTTTTCAGATACTTGGGAGTTGACGTGTCGGCGGATGGATTTATGAAGGATGAGGTTAATCATAGAATTGATGACGGAGAAAAGGTGAGTGGTGCGTTGAGGTATATGTGGAGTCAAAAAACGTTATCTATGGAGGCAAAGAAGGGAATGTATGAAAGTATAGTAGTACCAACACTCTTATATGGATGTGAAGCTTGGGTGGTAAATGCAGCAGTGAGGAGACGGTTGGAGGCAGTGGAGATGTCCTGTCTAAGGGCAATGTGTGGTGTAAATATTATGCAGAAAATTCGGAGTGTGGAAATTAGGAGAAGGTGTGGAGTTAATAAAAGCATTAGTCAGAGGGCAGAAGAGGGGTTGTTGAGGTGGTTTGGTCATTTAGAGAGAATGGATCAAAGTAGAATGACATGGAAAGCATATAAATCTATAGGGGAAGGAAAGAGGGGTAGGGGTCGTCCTCGAAAGGGTTGGAAAGAGGGGGTAAAGGAGGTTTTGTGGGGGAGGGGCTTGGACTTCCAGCAAGCGTGTGTGAGCGTGTTAGATAGGAGTGAATGGAGACGAATGATACTTGGGACCTGACGATCTGTTGGAGTGTGAGCAGGGTAATATTTAGTGAAGGGATTCAGGGAAACCGGTTATTTTCATATAGTCGGACTTGAGTCCTGGAAATGGGAAGTACAATGCCTGCACTTTAAAGGGGGGGTTTGGGATATTGGCAGTTTGGAGGGATATGTTGTGTATCTTTATACGTATATGCTTCTAAACTGTTATGTTCTGAGCACCTCTGCAAAAGCAGTGATAATGTGTGAGTGTGGTGAAAGTGTTGAATGATGATGAAAGTATTTTCTTTTTGGGGATTTTCTTTCTTTTTTGGGTCACCCTGCCTCGGTGGGAGACGACTGACTTGTTGAAAAAAAAAATTCAGGGAAACCGGTTATTTTATATAGTCGGACTTAAGTCCTGGAAATGGGAAGCACAATGCCTGCACTTTAAAGGAGGGGTTTGGGATATTGGCAGTTTGGAGGGATATGTTGTGTAACTTTATACGTATATACTTTTAAACTGTTGTGTTCTGAGCACCTCTGCAAAAACAGTGATTATGTGTGAGTGAGGTGAAAGTGTTGAATGATGATGAAAGTATTTTCTTTTTGGGGATATTCTTTTTGGGTCACCCTGCCTCGGTGGGAGACGGCCGACTTGTTAAAAAAATAAATAATGTTCTGTTAATTACATCTTTATATTAGATGCTTAACAATAAAAAATGTCGTTGGGATACATAACAGGCTATACTTAGTAATAGATGACTCGTGTTACTGCTTTATTAATAATTTTCTTATTTTAATTTCAGCACAGTTCACGCTTGCATAACTTAAGCCATTATTTATTATTCGCAGACAAGTACACGTATTACATAAATTAAAATATCTGTACACAAATCAGATGGATACAAGTTAATAACGCTTCACACAAAATTTATATCACCGTCCTAACTGTATATTTAATTGGAGGGGTAAGCTAGATTTGCTGCGTTAAACCTTGAAGAATCGTTGGTCTCTCCTGTTGATCTACAGCTCTACCTCTTGGTAAGGTTCAACTTTATATAACTCTTAGGTCTGTTAAGGGAACTCAGCAGCAACTCCTCCACCTGTTGAGGGTTTTGTTGTACAGTTACCAAGCCTCTTGCTTGTGTTGAGATATAGAGGGGATCGTGGTTATGCGATGTCTCTTGATCACGCAACGACCGAAATAAATCTACTTGTATGATTTTATTAAACACTGAAGACGGGACACCACGAGCATACTGTAGTTCTGCTACTGTAGCTACATATATGTAATATCAGCCTTGCATGTCTTCAAAATAGGATTACGAAACTCAGCCCTTATTATAAACTATATGTAAACCTTTTCAGAGGCTGATTCACAATTATCTTACATCTCGGAGATAAGTATTCAAAACCTGACCAAGAAAAACGAAAACTTCACCATTACTTGCATAGAGGAATCTGAGAAACAAAATGTCACCCAGTGGATTCAGATTAAGCGTGAGTATTTTTTTTTTTTTTTGTATATTACTTTAAGGTCTTGTAATACTATATATATATACAAAGGTAACTGGTCTCAGGGTATAAATCACACAAATTATCACAATTCCGAAAAAAGGACATATACTTGCAATTTGTAAGCAAATTCTCTGCTTTCAGCTATGGCGGCACCAAAGTGGAAGAAGGGCGTTTCTTCTCCTCTGTCAAACATGAACCTTAAAGAGATGGGAAACCTCACCATGGAGTGCCCAGCAAACGGTGCTCCCACTCCGGAGGTCATATGGTATAAGGTAAATAAAATTCATTGCTAAAGAGCTTCAGTGTTGAATCCTGTTATAATGAAACAGTATTAGATTTAGAATGTGTGTATAAATTTGGTGCAATATGATTTTCTTAGAAAATGTTAATTTGATTATAGTGACTTCTTTGACTTTTAACGATACGTTGTTTACATTTTCACGTAAATTATTGTTTTGTATCCCCATTAGGATGATAAGAAAATCGATAAGAAGCAAGAACATAGAGAAATTAGTGGAAATAAAATCTCATTTCAAATTCTGAAGATTACGGATTCAGGCTTATACAAATGTGAGGTAAGTCATAAATTAAAGTATGACGCTTATCTGTAATGTTGATGTCTTCTTTCATCAAACAGAAAATATGGAGAGTTGGTCTTAAGTCTGGAGCCATAGGGAGGAAAATAGGAGATAGTCTTTTATTCATAGAACGTGTTCGATGTGCCCATCATTACTCTTGATAAAAGAATTTAGACGAGATATCCAGTCAATAAGTACACGGTGAACGATACTAAGAGTGAAAGTGTTGCTTGATGCTGTACAGAGACGCCAGTGTGTTAGTGGAGACGCGATCTGGATGCAATCTGCTCAGTTCTCAGCGGCGTTCCTCTAAATTTGATTTTCTACGAGTAGCATTATCTGCAGGTGTTCTTCCTTACTCAAAGATATCATGGGAACCTACATAAATAGAAAAATAAAACATGAATTACTTATTTTACCCTGTGGTTCCAGACTTACGGGACACACTGTAGTACTATATGCTCCGGAAAAAAAAGTGTATGTTGAATCTAGAGTTCCACATACGGAGATTTAATATTACTGTGAGACAATTTTCATATTTTAGTGTTGATGCCATGTAATCGTTAGTATTAATTAATCAACTAGTCAGCGAGATAAGTCGAAAAGCATCATGTTAATTCAGTATTTTCATACTCTTGAACCACGATGATTTTATATATATATATATATATATATATATATATTATATATATATATATAATATATATATATTATATATATATATATATATATATATATATATATACATGTATTATATATAATATACATACGTACATACATACAGTTGACTTGAACATCGCTGGGGTTAGGGCGCCGCTTATCCCCCATTCCCCCTATCCCCCGCGCGGTCGAAAATCCGCGTATAAATTTTGACTCCTCAAAAACTTTACTAATAGCCTGTTGACCGGAAGCCTTACCGATAACATAAACAGTGGATTAACGGACATTTTGTATGTTATATGTATTATATACTGTATTCTTACAATAAAGTAAGCTAGACAAAAGAAATTGTATTGAGAAAATCATAAGAAAGAGAAAAAACATTTATAGTACTGTACTGTATTTATCGATACCATAAGTTTACGTCATCTGTTAACAAAATGAATCGTCTGTCAGTACCTACATTACTTTTGTCTTATATGATACAAAACGCTGTATTAATAACACTGGACATAAAAAATGAAAAGATATGAACAAAATAATTTTTGAATTAATATTTCATCTTTTCTTATGTTTACATTTCTCTCGACTGCGAATGGAACATGTACGATCTGTATTATTATTAGTTGTAGTGTTTATTTTATTAACACATCGGCCGTTTCCCACCAAGGCAGGGTGACCCGAAAAAGAAGAGGCACTTTCGCCATCATTCACTCCATCTCTGTCTTGCCAGAGGCACGCCTAAACTACAGTTAAAAAACTGCATCAACACCCCTCCTTTACAGTGCAGACACTGTACTTCCCACCTCCAGGACTCAAGTCCGACCTGCCGGTTTCCCTGAATCCCTTCATAAATGTTACTTTGCTCACATTCCAACAGCACGTCAAGCCATAAAAACCATTCGTCTCCACTCGCTCCTATATAACATGCTCACGCATGCCTGCTGGAAGTCCAAGCCCCTCGCACCAAAACCTCCTTTACTCCCTCCTTCCAACCTTTCCTAGGCCGACCCCTACCCCGCCTTCCTTCCACTACAGATTTATACGCTCTCCACGTCGTTCTATTTCGTTCCATACTCTTTAAATGTCCGAACCACCTCAGCAACCCTTCCTCAGCCCTCTGGTTAATACTTTAAGTAACCCTGCACCTCCTCCTAATTTTCAAACTACGGATTCTCTGCATTACATTCACACTCCCACATTGCCCTCAGACACAACATCACTGCTTCTACTTGTTGCAACATTCACCACCCATGCTTCACACCCATATAAGAGTGTTGATATAACTATACTCTCATACCATACATTCCCTCTTTTGTCTCCACAGACTCCTCAGTGCACCACTCAACTTTTTCCCCTCATCAATTCTATGATTCACCTCGTCTTTCACAGACCCATCTGCTGACAATTCCACTCCCAAATATCTGAATACATCTACTTCCTCCATACTCTTTCCTCCAATCTGATATCCAATCTTTCATTACCTAAATGTTTTTTGTTATCTTCATCACCTTACTCTTTCCTGTGTTTACTTTTAATTTCCTTCTTTTACATACCTTACCAAACTCGTCCACCAACTTCTGCAACTTCTCATCAGAATCTCCCAAAAACAGTGTCATCAGCAAGAGCAACTGTGACAGCTCCCACTTTGTTTTAGATTCTTTATCTTTTAATCCCACACCTCTTGCCAACACCTGAGCATTCACTTCTCTTACAACCCCATGTGTAAATATATTGAACAACCATGGTGACATCACACATCCCTGTCTAAGGCCTACTTTTACTGGGAAAAAATCTCCCTCTCTCTTACATACTCTAACCTAAGCCTCACTATCCTCGTAAAAACTCTTCACTGCTTTTAGAAACCTACCTCCTATTCCATTCATTTGCAACATCTGCCACATCCCCCCTTCCATCTACCCTATCATACGCCTTTTCCAAATCCATAACTGCAACAAAACCTCTTTACTGTTATCTAAATACTGTTCACCTATGTGTTTCACTGTAAACACCCGGCCTACCGACTCCCTTTTCTAAAGCCTCCTTATTCATATTCGATCCTGCTCTCTGTCTTACTTTTAATCTTTCAACAATCGCTCTACCATATACTCGACAGGCTTATTCGCCTATAATTTTTACACCCTCTTTAGTCCCCTTTGCTTTTGTACAAAGGAACTATGTACACTCTGCCAATCCCTAGTTACCTTACCCTCTTCCATACATTTAGTATATAAAAGCACCAACCACTCTAAAACTATATCCCCACCTGCTTTTAACATTTATGTCTTTATCTCATCAATCCCAGCTGATTTACACCCTTTCATTCTACCCACTGCCTCACGCACCTCCCCCACATTCACAGCTAGCTCTTCCTCACTCCTATAAGATGTTATACCTCCCTGCCTAATGCACGAAATCACAGCTTCCCTATCTTCATCAGCATTTAACAGTTCCTTAAAATATTCCCTCCATCTTCCCAATACCTCTGACTCTCTATATAATAACTCTCCTGTTATTTTTAACTGTCAAATCCATTCGTTCCTTAGTCTTTCTCGGCTTATTAATCTCACTCCAAAATTTTCTCTTTTTTTAAAACAAAATTTTTTAAATAGCATTTCCCCCACTCCTCATTTGCTTCCTTTTACATTCCTTCCCCATTCTTTTAATTTTTCTTTTTCTTCCATAACTGTTTTCCTTCTTGATCATTTCTACTTTGTAAAACCTCTCCTATGCTTTTCCTTTACAACTCTCTTTACCTTATATCATTATTATATTATTGACCTTTGTGGGTTTAGGTTTAGCTATGATTATAAAATTTTTCTAAAACGTGTGCCTAATTTTTTGATAAATTTTTAGTTTCTATAATAAATTTGTGTATTTTTTTATGGAGCAAATAAGAGACTAGTACACATATGTTTACGCTTCGTGAAAACCCTAGACTTAAGTCTCGAACATCCCCAGATAGGGACCCAAAGGCCGGGTCATACTATTTGGGAAAAGACCCGGGCCAGGAAATCCCGGGGCGAAAAAAAAAAAAAAAAAAAAAAAAAAAAAAAAAAAAAACAAATTTTTCCCTTTTTTTTTTTTTTCGGTCGCAAATCGCAAAAATTTTTCCATATATTTATTGATAAAAATCCCGTATAAGTGAACCCATCGCTAAACTCGTGTTGTTTCAAGGGGCAACTATTATAATCTGTATTATATTCTTCAGTTTTAAAAATTGGGTTTTTGCGTTGCCTTGATTATAATGATAATATAATAATTACTTGTTTTGATAACTAGGGGAGAAACCGAGCAGAACCATCGGAGTGAAGGGCCCGTCAGGGGACTGACCCCCGAAGCCCCTTTCCGACACCAAAATCCTCATCACGTGGGTTCTCTTGTCATCCTGTTGGTGATTAGTGTCGTCTTTTGCAGGAAGATTTACCAGGACAGGGTAAATATTTTAACATGTCATTGTTCATAAATTAAGCAATAATTGGTGTGTGCAACTGATGTGTGCATCATACTGTCAGGTTTAAAGGTATGGGAGGTAAATAGAACCCAGAAACTGAAGCTTATCTTCCCTCACTTGGGTTGGTATCTGGTCTATCCAGAGGCTAGATCTCAAGTTCATTCTCCCCCTCGAAAACCTTGTACTAACCTCTATAAATACAGCTTGGGAGACTAATAAGAGAAGGTTTATCTAAACACATTTTAACATGCCCAAGAGCTGATGCTCAACTCCTTCAAGGCACTGAATGATTCATGCAGGTTTATCAATTTCTTGTGAATATAATACCCCACGTCTTAGTTGATCAGGCCATCCCCGGAAGGGCCCGGGGCGGGGCCGGGCCCCTGGGGGGTTGACCCCCAAGCCATTTCTTGTAAACTCAAGTTTTTTTTTACATCGGGTTTGAAGCGAAATTTGGAAACTAAGGGTCCCCTCCTGAAAAAGCTAATCAGGCCTAGGGGCTAAATCCATCATGAAAATACAGTTTGTAGAATAACGTTCCAGGAGCTGAAGCTCAGCACCCACTATTTTGGCTAGGCACCTTGTCTGATAAAGGGCTTGATCCAAGGAGTTAAGAGCAACCCCCATTTTTTTTTTGATCAAAATTGATTTCCTTCTTTCTTCAAACCTTGTAGATCCTTAAGGTTTGGCTTCCCGATGAAATTATCCATAAAAAGGGGCCTTATGCAGGGTAGGGGTTTGATACAAAAATTTGATGTCTTCCCCCTGGATTTAATCTGCTTTTCATTCCCCCCGTCACTGGACTCTTCGACGATTTTTCCACTTCCCCAAAGCTAAATATTTAATAAAACCCTTTAAAAAGGCTGGGACAAATGCTCTTCGCTAAACTGTTTTAACACATGATTACTGGAGCTACTGTTGCCTTCCTCTCAGCTCTGATCTCTCATTAACAAGGGGTTTTCGCTTACAGAATTGCCGTTCACTGAATGTTTTGTGTTTTTCATACCATTCTCTGTAAACTTAAGAGACTTATGCGTGAAAATCCCAGATCAGCAGTTTCTGAGATACTTAAAACCACCCCGTCTGTCACAATCATTCCACAGTCAAAGATACTTAGATCACATTTCTTTCCCATCCTGATGTTCGATCTGAACATCTGAATGTCTTGACCATGTCTGCATGCTGTTAGGCTTTGAGGTCCTGCCACGTGATTGGCTGATTAGATATTTCCATTAATAAGCAGGTGTACCTAATAAATTAGCCAATGAGTGTATATCAGATCTATTAGTTATGAAGCCAACAAAGTTCAGAGTTTTAAGAAACAAATAATGAAGTAGTGCATTAAAATAGCGCATCAAAACAAAAATGAAATATTATAGTCTTGTAGAATTGTAAATAATTCAAAATATATAACCAAGGAATATTGATTTTTTTTTGTGGAGCAAAAGTTTTATAAGAAATTATTACATTCATTGAAGAATGCTACCCCCTGGACCCCCATAGGGGTCATAGTATCCCGTAGCTCGGTTGGTAGTTTACTCAGCTCACATACTGAGATCCGTGGTTCGTTCCCCTGTATGGGTGAAAACATTGGAGCGTGGTTTCCTTAAGATACCTGTTGTCCCTATTCACCTAGCAGCAAATAGGTACCTGGGTTTTAGCCATCTGGTGTGGGTCGCATCCTACCTACCTACCTGGAGTCTACCTGGAGGGTATTCCGGGGATCAACGCCCCCACGGCCCGGTCCACGACCAGGCCTCCCAGTGGATCAGGGCCTGATCAAAGAGGCTGTTACTGCTGGCCGCACGCAGTCCAACGTACGAACCACAGCCGGCTGATCCGGCACCGACTTTAGGTATCTGTCTAGCTCCCTCTTGGAGACAACCAGGGGTCTGCTGGTAATGCCAATTATGGCTGGTGGGAGGCTGTTGAACAGTCTTGGGCCCCAGGCACTTACTGCGTTTTCTCTTAGTGTACCAGTGGCGCCCCTACTTTCCACTGGGGGTATGTTGCATTGCCTGCCAAGTCTTTTGCTTTCGTAGCGATTTCTGTGTGCATATTAGGGACCAGTCCCTCCAAAATCTTCCAGGTGTAGATTATGTTATATCTTTCTCGCTTGTGCTCCAGTGAGTACAAATCAAGTGCTTCCAAGCGTTCCCAGTAATTAAGGTGTTTGATGGAACTTATACGTGCAGTGTAGGTTCTCTGTACTTTCTCTAGATCTGCAATTTCACCTGCCTTGAATGGGGATGTTAATGTACAGCAGTATTCCAGCCTAGAGAGAACAAGTGATTTAAAAAGGATCATCAGTGTCTTAACATAACTTGTCTTGAATGTTCTCAAAAAAATGTCCTATCAGTTTCCTCGCAGATATAATAATGGCATTGTTGTGGTCCTTGAAGGTGAGGTCTTCGGACCTCACCCAGGTCCTTCACATTATTTTTCCGCTCTATTGTGTGATTAGAGTTTGTAGTATACTCAGTCCTAGTTATTATTTCCTCCAGTTTTCCATAACGGAGTAGTTGGAATTTGTCTTCATTGTACATCATATTCTTCTCCGTTGCCCATTGGAAAACTTGGTTTATATCTTCTTGGAGATTTGCCGTGTCCTCAATGGATGACACTCTTCATGCAGATCCTAATATCGTCCTACCTGGAGGTTACCTGGAGGTTATTCCGGGGATCAACGCCCCCGCGGCCCGGTCCATGACCAGGCCTCCCCTGGGGACAAAATTAACCTAATTTGCTCGAAATGCCCTGCATAACAATGGGCTTTCTGTACAGTATGTAACGGATGTCAGTTGGGTCTGTATAAATTATATCATGTAGAAATAAATATTACAACAATAATAATAATAATAATAATTAATTATTATTATTATTATTATATTATTATTATTGTAGTGCCTGAAAGAATGGGAGGAATTTGGGTTCAAAGGAAGGGGAGGGCAAGTTTAATTAATTCCTTGGTTCGAGAGTCCCTCACTGGCATCTAGGCATCCCTTTCCTCGTGAGGCATATCTTGATAAAGCCGCTTCTGATCGGCTTTAAACTTTAGGGACCATATTGCACCTGGGGATTGGGAGGTAATCAGGTTCAATCCAAGGAAAGAGAGGATAACTGCAATTCCTTGGCTCATGGTCCTTCACCGGCATCAGGGCATCCCTATGTAGTGAATATTTTTTTATGGTTTATAATTTCTATACTGTAATATATAATTAAAGTGGATAAATGGCTTTGCATTCTAATCAACATAATATTTCCTCACAGAAACGAGCATTACGTCTCCGGCTGAAGGATCAACAGTTGTTTAATGAAGGTGATCCTGGAAGCCTGAACCCTGAAATTGGAATAGACCAACAAGCAGAACTTTTACCATACAACACAAAATATGAGGTGCCACGAGACTCCATTATTTTTGGTAAGAATTTGTTGAGCTTAAAATGGCATTCACTATATTTTATAATTTATTACTTTAAACTGGGGTTATGGAGCATGGGAAATGGAGACAGACAAGTTCGTTCGTGAAAAGAAATGAAAATAGGTATAATTTCTTGGAATAACCCGGAAGGGTCATGTAGCCAACTTCTTGGATCAAGAGCCCTTAAATGACATAAAAGCATCCTCCTTGAGGAGTCTGACGTTGGTTTGAGGCATAAAAACAATTAATTGCCTGTTTGGCACCGAAGGAGTCTGAAACTGACAGAGGAAGATAGGGAAGCAATACAGATATCAGTAAGGAGTGCACAAACTGTAGCTCCGTTATAAAATCTTGGACCATCTGAAGTAAGCAGCCCTAGATAATGGTGTTAAAAAAAACTCGTGCCTAACACCATTAGTAGATTTGGATTCATTGGTGTACATACGAGTAATATAGAAGTGCGGTTGAAAAAGCTCATGAAGGAGCTTGTGGCTGCAAGAGAGATATGGGTCTTCAGAGATGAAAGGAGGGAGGAAAATACAGATTACAGGGGCATCAGAAGTGGCAGAACAAAGTGTCAAATACGGTAAACCAAAAGGAGGTGGGTGGGGAGACGGAGAAGAGCAACAAAATCCTAGAGGAAAGGGGCGCAATAGACTGATCAAAGGTAGGAGTTCTGTTGACATCAGTGAGTATCTTACAGGTCAGAATACGATGTAGATAATGAGGGTGAACAGTTAATGGAGTCAGTAGAGATCATAGCGGTCATACATGTTAGACACCGTATATAGGCTTTCAGTCATGATTAAACAAAAGGCCCCTGAACCTTAATGCCCAATAATATCAAGGTTAAATACAAAGGATAAATTAATATCAGGATGGGAGCCCGCTAAATAGGAACCATACAGAGCACAGGAATGGAAGGCAGTCAGGTTCAATCCAAGGAAAACAAGGTCCAATTCCTTAAATCAGAGCCCCTCACCAGTGTCATGGAACCTTCCTTGAGGGTAGTTTAAAATCAAAACCAAATGAAGATGAAAAGGATTTGTCCACGTGCTTCCTTCACTGCAAAATATCTGCTACATATATTTTTAATAAATTTAATCTGCTGAGATCTGCTGCCTCAGAGAAGAAATGTGAATTCCATAACATTCAGCAATCAAAGAGAAAACAGAAATTTATTAGGTTAGCAGACTAGCATGGAAAAACCACATGGAATGAGCATAGCCCCGTAATGACGGATCACGATGTGAAAATAACTGAGTTGGTTTTGAACACCGATAATTGTTTACTGTGGCCCAGTCAGAAATACAGTCTACCGCACACTGCAATATGAACTTCACCTGTCAGGTTTGCACTTGCGGAAATAATGGTGAAAACATCTACAGTACACAAAGAACATATTACTGATGGCGGCAGTCAATAACACCGTTGTGCTGAGACTACATACCATTGGTGCAGCTAAAATAGCTAAGAGTAAGCGAATAAGAGTATTATGAAATTTAAGTGCTAAACCTGAAAGGGTCACATAGCAATGCAGGGAGGGATGTGCTAAAGGAGGAATATGTGAAGGTTAGGAAGACTTGAGGGGCAAGGGTAAGGTTAAGGGGGGGTAGGGGAGAGTGCAAAAGGCAAATTAAAATTGATGGAATACGTTACTGTTAAAACAAAGGCAAAGAGAAAGAGAGTGCATCAAAGGTGGGGCTTTCAGCAAGGAGGTCAGTTATAGTAAGTGTGATGGTGCACTGTAGATGTCGTAAGTGAATTGTGTGTGCCTGCTGATAGACACACACGTATTAAGAATGGTAATGTTTGGCAACCTAAGATTTTTTCAGTGGTCCCGGGGCGTTTTTTGTGTCCATAAGTGGGGTGCATGGGGCCGGATATGGAGGAGAGAGTGAAGGCCCCTTAGTAACAGAGTTAAAAAACAGATACCGAAACCAAACGGGGTTTGATAGAAAAAAATTTATTGTGGACAGCTCGACTACCGTTTTGCCAAATTTCGATAACACTGAAAAAAAACTCAAGAAAGGAATACCTTGTGAAATAGGGAAAATGAACTAACTGACCACGGTCGACTGTTTTTTACCCCAAACACGACGTGCCAGGGAGCCAGCAGAAAAAATTGATGTTGACACAATAGTATGAGGGGCCCTAAGAAGTTTATGCAATTTTGCGTGAAAACATGGGTGAGTCTGTAAACAACCTCAGATATTTTCAGAAGAGTAGGGATAAGACAAAAACTGAGGAGCATCAAATGAACAGGGTGAGAAAGAAAAAAAGGCAAACTTTTACAGGTCATTTCAAAATATACTGTGGTCCACAGTAAGTTTTATTTTTATAGGAGATCTGTTTTTATTGCTACTCGGTAAAATTCCGAAACGGGTTATATAACTTTAACAACTCAGAATGGAGTGGGGATTGAAGTCATGGCAAGAGAGCCCTAAAACTAGCAGACCAGTGCACTAACTAGCAAACCATGCACAGTGGCTTGCTGGTTCAGAAGTGCCTTGTCATAGGTTTGAACTCCACCCATTCAGTGAGTTTGCAATTCTGTTATGATTTTGCAAGCCATTGATGACGGTTTTGAAAGAATGAGCTGGATGTTGCACAGCCAACAATGTTGGTGTAAGATTAGACTAAAAACCTGCACCGTGGCCACAATGGGGGCCTTACTAACCCTCCTAGTGTGTAGAAATATATCAGTTAGACGAGTCTTATTAGGCCAGCATTTTACAGTAGAACACTGACCTGTTAAATTAACTCTCTCCAGGTCTCCAGGTCTTTAGTTTCAGGCCAATTTGGTTCTCTATGTCTTTTCTTTTATAGGCCTTTTTGAGAAAAATATTAGTTTTCTCACATTTTGTCCGTTCTTTTCAGGTCACCGATTGTGACTCTGCATAATATGAGCCACACTAAGAGTTAAAATGAAGAAGAAATATATACGTACAATGAAACTCATACAAGTGTTTGCCGATTTTGATACAATTTGACATTGATTCTTTCAGTTTAAATGAAATTAAATGGGACACTTTTCTTGTTGATAATCAGTGGATTATTATTATTATTATATTATTATTATATTTTATTATTATTATAAAAAGAAGCGCTAAAACACAGTGGAAATAATATATATTATATATATATATATATTTTATAAAATATATATATAATAATATATATATATATATATATATATATATATATAGTAAAATTAACAAAGACTTGCATCCAATTCTGAAGAATTTAACTTTACTGCATCATTTTCAAACTTCACTTTGTCTGAAGTGAACCTTAATTTTAACCAAGTACATAATTCATTCCCAAGTAAATATTAATTAAAATATAGTATGAGAAACCAGGTGACCTAGATATATAAAAAATTGAATTAATTATAAAGAATTCGTGGAAAAAGAAATGTCAAATTTCAGTGAAAACGAGATGAATGTCCGACATTTGTGTATACCTGACTATAGTATATCATAATACAAAAATATATAACGGCAAGATATTGAAGTACTATATTAACAAATAAATCAAAGTTATTCCAAATGTAATTATACAATTTCTTTCCACCTAACCTTCATCATTTAACATTTACAGAAAATATTGTACAATATTTTTAACTTTCATGGATACAGAGGTGTGTTACTGACATTACTGAAGACAAGACACAGATACACAGCTTGTTTCAATTGTGATAAGTGCGTTTTATGTAGAGTTCTATACAGAGCAAAATACTGTCACAATAATAGCTTGCTGTACACCTGTCTGATAATAACTTTCATGTTGCCAATATCTATCTAGATAAATTACTGGGAGCTGGAGCCTTTGGACGAGTGTATCGTGCCACAGCCATCAACCTGATCCCTGGACAATCTCGGACCACAGTTGCCGTCAAGATGATGAAGTCTCGAACAGACAGTGCCCAACTGAAAGCTCTAAGATCAGAAGTAAAGATCATGATCCATATTGGGCGCCATGTTAACATTGTCAACCTTCTGGGTGCCTGCTCCAAAGATTTGGCTTCGAAAGGTAATTTCTGCTACAATTTCATTTTTTTTTGTCAAATATGTAAAATTTGTTTCCTTCTTGTTGACGGTTTTTCAAATCATCTGCATTGCGATGTTTATGTATTTTGGAACCACATAGCTAGGGAATAAGGCATGGCTAATGTTTTCCTTTGATAGCAAACAGCTGGATTAAAAAAAATATTTAATTTGCCAAGGTATATAAATTATTATTGGAATTCATTACCTGTGAATATAAAAGAAACACTCTTTATAAATTCAAGTCTCTTCTTAAAAATCACTTACCCACAACTAAATAAATACTGAATAATTGTATCATAAATGTTTAACCTGTGATCCAATCAAACTTTGTTATTTTTAATTACATTACCTAACAGAATACTCCATTCTACTGAATACACAGCAACACAGTAAATGACCATATGACCTGTCTTTGAAATACTCATTTGTGCTTAATTGTTAACTGTTTACAACAATGTTTACCAGTGAATATATCATTGCTTAGTTAATCTTAAGTTAATTTTAAGCCTGCCCTAATGCTCTGCATAGCCCCCCTTAAATCAGGGATAATCACAGATAGCACTACAGACCACTACCCTACCTTCCTCCTGACAAACATTAGTAAACCACCACTTGAATACAACAAAGTCTCATTTAGACTCCATGACGAGGCCTCAGTAAGGAAGTTCACAGCTGACCTAGAGACTGTTGATTGGCCAACAGAATTCTCCAAGGCCAATGGTATTGATGACTGGACAGACATTTTTCTTAACAAATTACTTAGACTATACAACAAACATTGTCCTATAAAAACAAAACAGATCACAAACAAACGGCTTGGTTGCCCATGGCTAACCAGCACCATTCTGAAATCCATTGAAAAGAAACACCAATATGAAAAGCAATATAGACAGGGCTTAATACACAAAGATACTCTTAA